CCCTTAAATGGTGGAACATTTTTAAGGTGGATTTAAATTTATATAAAAATCTTAAATTATTTTATATAAGTTTAAAGTTGTAGCTTCATACTTCTGTCAAACATTACTTTAATAGAGTATAATTTTTGCGACTAAAATTTCCCTTGGAACGGCCACCTTGTTTGTCGTTTATTGTAGGCCAGTTGGATGCATATGCTTACAAGACTTTACCCTCAAACCAACTTCCATTGAAAAACAAGATCTCCAAATAGATATATGGATCATATAAAAATTAAATTTTTAGTAAATTTTGGTAAAACTTAATAAAATATGTTATTTGGAAGTTGATAAAAGTCACAGGTTCCATAAAATGTGTTATTGAAAATGAGCTTAAGAAAAATTGAGTTTTAAAAAATAAGAGCCAAATAATGGCTAATATATTGGAACATTAACTTCATTTATATGTACAAAAATTTATCTCACATCATCATCGGTAGACTGTAAACACCACACCAAAATTTTAGTGAATCCCCAATGAATAATAAAAGTTTGTAATTACTATTAAAAACTATAAATTAACTGAAAAATGAGAAACTTCTAATCACACACCAAAAAATTCACCAGAAACTAATAGCGTGCTTAACTAATTTTGTTCTATTTTTATTTCCAGACAAACAAGGACAATAAAACTTAGATATGCCCCGCCCCGCCCCTAGAGCATTGTGGAGGAGGTTAATCGCAGGATATGCCTCAACAGGCCAAGGTACAAGAGTTGTCGTACTGGTGCTCACAAAGAGTCCAATTTCATATCTTGTAAGAGATATGAATCGAACCCTCACACAGCGGCTACCAACTCAGCTGAGACTACCTCACTCCTGTCATTTGCACCACTGGGCTATACCCCGGGGGCAGTAGTAGGGATTTATTACTCATACAGGAGGAGGGTACTGGGAACAAAATCATATTACTATTTAAGAACTGAAATGACAAGATGTCTCAGTAACAACTTAGATCGGCAGCTAATCTAAATCTGTTCTTAACAACAGAAAAGAATTCCTTCCACGACCTACTATCGAAGAGAGAAATTTTCTTCGCTGACGAGAAAGGCATAATCCACCAACTACCAAGAACCCCAATTAGTATGAACCTCTCATCTTTAATTTCAACTCTAGCTACACAAAGGGCAGTGTAATCTTCAACTTCTACCATCTTCACGTGTAATGGCTGCAAAATAAAGCGTACAAATCACAACAAAATGATTATGAAGCATGTTAAATAAAACACTTCATAGAGTTCTTGTATTTAATAAATAACTACATTCGAAGAATTTATAAGGCCTCTATAAACGTTTAGTTTTATTGTTTATCGCATCCTCTACTTTTTCTCGAGTCTCTGTTGCAACCAGTCCTAGTTTAAATATGAAGGCTCCACCAAGATAACCTGTGCAGTACATCAGCATGCCAAAGGAGTACGATGACAATTAAGGGATAAATTTCTGAAATGTCTTAAAAATGGAGTTCACTACAAGTGCAACAATCCTAATTTGTTCAAACAGAATATTCTATACTTGACTGAGAACGCAATTGCATAGGTCACATTCTTAATGACCTAGATTAAAATCCCAAATATGCAGTTATTTCATGTGTAAAGAAAGTAGATATTAATAGATGTTGTTGAAATAGTTATTATGCCTTAAGCTAAGATGTTTATTGTTCTGGATACACTTTCTATATTAAAAGAACAATGGATAAATCCAAATATTATAAAATGATGCTGCAGATATATAAGTAAGAAGCTCACCCTAAATCTGTACAAGAAAGGATGTTGGCGCATAAGTTGATGCCGCAACTGAAATATTGAAGATGTAAAAGAGACATGTTAACCTATAATCATGCACATAGTACGTGCTGCAAAACATCATTTGCCATCAGACGCCAAAAAACAAAAAAAAAAGTATCCCTGTTTTGACAACTTCCCAAGTAGTTCTGCAGAAACACTGCAGACTCATCCAATGGATTCATTAATTGAAGATTCGACTCAAATGAAGTTCATGGCTTAATCGAGTAAAACCCTTCTTTGTACAAATACATGTTCAAACCAATACAAATGGCTTGTAACCAAATTCACTTCCACATTCAATCTTTTGGCAAAATGTGAATTAATAAGCACAGTAGGAGTAGAACTTCTCTTTTGTACTTCTCCTTTTACTTTTATTATTTCTTCTGAAACATTGGGCGAGTGTTTGACGTGTGGGATTCAAACATGAAATCAATGTGAATTTGTCACCTACATGAAGGCTGCAGTTGATACCAGACTTGCTAAATCAGCCATCTATCGTTTTTGCTAGATTGGCTAGCATTAGGGATGTAAGCGGTCCGGTTTTTGTGGTT